GGTAAGTATCAATAATTGAGCACCATGGGGGTGACTTCGCTCGGCCATTTAGCGGTCGAACGAGGGGGACGATCCGCGGCGGGTGCTTATGGTACGGGGATATCGGTGGATGTATCGCACGGCGAGGCCTGCTATCGACATGTCGACGATGCCAGACCGGAGCTGTATATTCTACGATATAGGAAACTAGCCTAGCCGCGATCATGATACGCGAAAATACCATCTGTCATTCGGGGATGCGTGCCGGGTCCCAGCTTTCCCTCCCACCGGGATTTTCAACCCCCTTCCCTCCCTGTCACCCGCTACCCCGATCGCTCCTCCATTCGTGGTCGTCGATTTTTTTTTTCACGTTCACTGGACGACCTCCTCCGAGGTTAACGAATTATGACAGAATGATAAGTATAGAGAAAAAAATTCATGAAAAATCACTGACCTATATCTGTCTACTTTATATATTATTTGTACCTTATTTTTATGAGCGTCCGTTGGATCTTTTCCACAAGGAGGCGTGATTACAATTTTTTCCGATTTTTTATTTTCAATTATTTTATTTTAAAAGTACATAAATAAATTTCAATCGATTTATTCACAAGGAGAACAAATGCTTCATTATTTTACCGATTCCAAGACGGAGCAAATCTATCTAAAATCATCATCTAAATTATCCAAAACCATTAAACCCATACATTCTTCATGATGAATTTACTGCTGTTTGTCGAATTTTCCGCTGACCTGTTTATTAGCAGAGCGAATTAGCGCGATCCACTTTGGTGACACATAATAGATAATTGCGTTTGGAATATATATGTCGGCTAGCTTACGCGCTAGAGTTGGATACCATTAACTTTCCGGGAAATGTTTTCTTAAATAACGTGACCGTAAGACCCAGTTAATCCGGATTCCGGAACAATGCGGGATTTGAAACAATTGGCTGCAAACGAACGAGTATCGAGGGACCAGGTCGCTGCCCGGCAGCCGTGAATAATCATGACCCATAGTCGGATTCACTTTCCAATTAAAGGTCCCGATTTGCATTCGACTCCAATGCCGTTGATCGGAACGCGCGACCGAACTGGAAAGGGTCGACGACCGGCCACGCCATCGAAAGTAGCGAATAACGAGAATGGCGATAAATCGATCGAACGTGTCAAACAATATGTCCTTATCGTGGCTCGAATATACCGAATATTGCCGGGCGATATTGCGAGCGCAGATCGTACTTACATCTCGGTTAACAAAAGGGGGATGATGGATATCGCTGAGTCATTATCATCAACTCGGTGTTTTTATAATACGTATTTGTAGGTAAACATTTCAATTTTTAAATAGAAATATTAAATATAGTTGGGAATATATTCATCACAAATTATTCGTCTCTCTTTCTCGATGCTTTATTTAAATTATTTTGTTCAGTGCTAATTAGCATTGTGTTGCTTGTCCAGCTTGTGGTGCTAATCCAATAATATTATTTGAAAATTAATTTTAATTATTTGAGTTCAACATATTATAAAGTTATATGATTACTTTTTGCCATTTCGTTTTTTTGATAATAATTTAAAAAAAAATATATGTATATATAGAACAATTTCGTGAATAAAAAAAATAATCGCATTATTATCTAATAGAAAAAATTAAGAAAATGATGAATGATCTTTCATCCTAAAGACAAATTATATAAACGTATTTGTAGATAAACATCAATTTTTAAATAGAAATATAAAATATAGTTGGGAATATATTCATCACAAATTATTCGTCTCTCTTTCTCGATGCTTTATTTAAATTATTTTGTTCAGTGCTAATTAGCATTGTTGCTTGACTAACATGTTATCTTCATTATTTCATATAATCCAATAATATTATTTGAAAATTAATTTTAATTATTTGAGTTCAACATATTATAAAGTTATATGATTACTTTTTGCCATTTCACTTTTTTGATAATAATAAAAAAAAAAAAAATATATATATATATATATATAGAACAATTTCGTGAATAAAAAAAATAATCGCATTATTATCTAATAGAAAAAATAAAGAAAATGATGAATGATCTTTCAGCCTAAAGACAAATTATATAATTGCAAAATTGGACTTTGACATAGCGTCTCGCCTTCGCGTTTTAACCCCTATTGGTGACCCAGACCGCAGTGCGAAGGTCTTGGGCGCACAAAGAGCCTAATGTTATGTAAAAATATCCATGGCGCCCGGTGTATATATTAATGCCGAAGAAGAGCGAAGACGCGCGGAAGAAAAGAGACATCGAACCACGAGCAGATGTTCCGGCCGAAATATCTAAATAAATCCAGCCCGCCCTTAAAATCCCAGAGTCGAATAAGTAATAACATCCACGGCTGTGTCCCATCCTTTCTCCATCTTTCTCTCTCTCTCTTTCTTTTTCGTCTGCCCTGCCTGTTTCGCCTGCATAAGCGAGCACGTCCGATTTCGAGACTTTAATTGGCCGGAGGGAATTCCGCCGCGTGGCCTTACTTTACGAGGAAACTTTCGAGATATTTTGAGCCAGGAAGGGAACGCGCTGCATACACGCTCTTTTTCCGGTTACATGATAAGTCGGCGAGATTGAGTCAGCATAGAGCGACCGCGCGCGCTTTTCAAAGATTTGACTTTTATCACGCGAATGCATACGGGACGCTACACTTTATGAAAGTCCTTGCGGCAACATACACTACGTTTGCGTACATCTTTTATTTTCTTTATGTTTCATCGGATTTTTATATACTTTACATCTTAAATTATTATAATCTATTCATTTAAGAATTACATAGAATTAAGATGTCTTAATTATTTTATTTCATTGATTATAGAGAAAATTCCGAATAAATTAAATCTAGCTAGATGAAGATATAAAAATAATGCTATTATAGGCAAGAGAAAAAATATAGTTTCTTCCTTTTTACTATTCTTAGCTTAAAAAATTCTTAATATTTTTTTCGTTATAATTCATAGCGAATTACTCGTAATTTATACTTGCGTACAGTTTTTATTTTCTTTATATTTCGTCGGATTTTTATATACTTTACACCTTGAATTATTATAATCTATTCATTTAAGAATTATATAAAATTAGGATAGTGTCTTAATTATTTTATTTTATTGATTTTAGAGTAAATTCCAAATAAATTAAATCTAGCTAGATGAAGATATAAAAATAATGCTATTATAGGCAAGAGGAAAAATATAGTTTCTTCCTTTTTACTATTCTTAGCTTAAAAAATTCTTAATATTTTTTTCGTTATAATTTATAGCGAATTACTCGTAATTTATACTTGCGTACATTTTTATTTTCTTTATATTTCGTCGGATTTTTATATACTTTACACCTTGAATTATTATAATCTATTTATTTAAGAATTATATAAAATTAGGATAGTGTCTTAATTATTTTATTTTATTGATTTTAGAGTAAATTCCGAATAAATTAAATCTAGCTAGATGAAGATATAAAAATAATGCTATTATAGGCAAGAGGAAAAATATAGTTTTTTTTCCTTTTTACTATTCGTAGCTTAAAAAAATCCTAACAAATTTTCGTGATAATTCATAGCTAATTACTCGTAATTTAATAATGGATCAAGATGCAACGTTCACGTGTCAAAGTCTCTCAACTTTTGACACGATCTAGTTGATCAAATTATTGGAAGGCAGCGCCATTAACTGCACTGCAGCGGTGGTCTTTGCATAGGTGGATTAACGCGAACGGCGGCGCAAACACGCGACGACACCGAGTTCATCCCGGGCCGAGCTAGGACGATTTACGAGGTTTCACAGGCTTGTCTGGCCGTAGATACGGCGAATGTGTCAATTACGATAACGCGCATCGACGATTTATCTGATTTATCCGATGAAATTATTTAGACGCTCATTGGCAATTATCGCGTCGCAATATTCAACCCGCGATTCAAAGCGCATAACGCGCTATGAAGCCATGTTGCAAAATATTCTTTTCCACACTCCACTTTGTCGCGGTTCTTAAGGGGCACACAGTTGAAAAATTTCTGTTAAATTTGACAGATGTCACACGTCCCAAACGGTCCACAGAAATTTTTCTGTTAATTTAATATAATATGGATATGTTCAATGGGGACACAAATGTTGTGTTAATATTTTAACACAAAAGATATGCAAAACTTCAAATAATTTGAAATAAATTTTGTGTAAAATTAACATAATTTTAATGTAAAAATTAACAAAAAATATGTTAATTTTAGATTTTTTATCATCCCCACTTGAATTATAAAATAAAAAATCAATATTTTTTTCTGTAAATTTTAACAGAAAAATCTTGTCACACATTGTGTTATTTTTACATTTTTTTCAGTTCTTTTAATAATTTAACATTAAGTTTAATCAACAGAATAGTAAATATGTTAAATATTTAACACAAAAATTTTAACGGGAACCGTTTTTAACAAGATAACACAAATTGTTCTACTGTGTAATGCCACTCTAGCGCCCGAAAAAACAGCCTAATTTTGATAATTTTTTGAAAATATATAGTGAATGGAATACAAAATCTGTTTAAAAACTCTTATTGTACATACTTCTTTAAAGTGTATTCACAAATTTTTTTCCAATTTTCTTTACAAAAAGATGGCGCCAGAATTCAGCAAAGAAAGCCTCTTCTTACGGATAATGTTGCGCGGCCGGAAAGATTTCTTCTGCAATTTTTGATCTAAAATAAAAGACCAAATATTTTTCAGTTTTATATAAGATTAATTTATATTTTGTTATAAACTTCTTTTCTTATAAACAAATTTTCATGTATAATTTTTCACCTAAAAATCAAACTTTTTGTTCAAACGTGCATCATTACAAAAAACGGTATTTTTTAATTTCCGTACGTACTTCTTAAGTTAATCTTATATAAAACTAAAAAATATTTGGTCTTTTATTTTACGTCAAAAATTGCAGAAGACAATAAGAGCCTTTAAACAGATTTTGTATTCCATTTACTATAAAATTGTCAAAATTAAGCTGTTTTTCGGGTCATTACCCCTTAAATTCGATTTTTCCCCATATTATATCACATCTTTTTAATTCCAAAAAATTATGCGCGCCAAAAAATAAAATTTTTTGATCACTCTTTCAATTTAGTTCCATTACCCTCCCTCGTTTCTTGTGTATACTTTGTCTTGTCGAAGCTAAAATAATCTTTGCCACTCGCAAGAGTCGGTTCGCCCGCTTGCATGAGAAACTTTTCGGTCTTGCTTGCTAAATTATCCGCCGGAAAATCGACGGCTTCTCCCGAGGTTTTCAACCTATTCCGTCGATTCGAGTCGCGAATCTCCTCTTTAAAGGGGCCGTACTCAAGATATCGATACGCGTCACCGTCTCTCCTGGGAATATTCGGGACAAAGTGAAAGGTTGGCGAGTCCACGTAATAATATCGATGCGGCCAGACAGATAATCGCGGAGCAGCTTTGTTGTAGATCGGTCGATCGTCGAGTTTTGAATCGTTGCGAGATCGTGATCTTCCGCGGAGTTTGCGATTATAATTTTTCAGCTCGAGAGGCGTCCTAAATTCCACAACGTTGTTCCTCGGTCGAGATAGTTTTCGAACTTTGAGAAAAATTGGCTCCACTCGTAAATCTTTCGATTTCGCTGTCTCGGACGCTTGCTTCATTTCCGAACGAATTCTGCGCAAAAAACTATCCTTGTCGATTATTCTCGATTCAGGAAAGACATTAAATCTTCTTCCGCGACGTCTCGAACGTAAATATTTGTCGCTGTTTAAATAAACATTCGGTTCAATTTCGAAATTTCTGATATTATTATTTAATATTATTCGATTCGGCATATTTTCCCTTTCTATTAAACGCGATAAAACATGATCGTCATAATGCGGCGAACTTCTTATTACCGGCAGCAACTTCCATTCGATGACGTCACTCGACCATTTATTACTTCTTAATCTTGGATGCTCCAAATTATTCTCGAGATCTAGGTCATCCGGTACGTCTAACTTGGCTACATATTTCTCCCTTAATTTATTTCCAGATAGATTATCATCATCTTCGTAAAACAAGTCGATCATCCTCCAATAATCCTCGACGCCGTAAAATCCCGCATCAAGTCCCTGTCGCAGATTTTTCAGCTCGATTTCGGGATCCGTTTCCGCGCTTCGATAGTTTGTCGCTCGATTTAATTTTACAGCGTTATCATCCGCTACTTTTTCCGCCGCCGAAACTTTCCGTCGTTCCTCCGAGACCCCAATTTCGCTCGTCAAGTTTACGAAGCCCGGACTTCCGTTCGCGCTGTCAATTTTTGTCTCGCGATTTATGGCGCAAAGTTTTCCCTTAACCTGGTTATTGGCTGCCGCGTTTATCACTAACTTTTCTCCCGCAGTCGCTGTATCAGTCCTGTGGTCCGCGAAAACATTGATCCTGCGCTCGGCCGATCTCAACTTATCGTTCGCGTCGTTATCCCTCGAAATTTTTCCGGACTCGCCACTTTTGACAGCTGACGTTCCGCGAATGATGACGCCTTCTCGCTTCGCTCTGGAACCCGTCTCATCGATCGGCTTATGTTTATCTCCATCCGTCAATTTCCTCATGTCCTTGCCGAACGCCACTTCCGCCAGTTGTTCCTCGTTCTCCTTCCGCCAGGCTTCCCGCTTGTTCAGCAGTATCACTTCGTCCTCCAAGCGATTCTTCCCCTTTATTGACGACGGATCCAGCGTCCTGTCATCTTCGGTCGTCAGGTTTTTCTTATCGGCCGATTCCCGTTTCCTCTTCCCTGTCAATTTTGCATCGAGCTGATCGAACGAATCGTAAATCGTCGGCTCCTCGTAACCTAAATAGAGGGAAGTCCTTTCTCCGTGACTCGCGCGCTTCTGTCGCGACTTCTCCGGAAATGGTCTCGCGCGACTTTGGTGCTTCCGGTGCTTTCGCTTCGCTTTCCCGTAATTTTCGTCCTTTTTATGATTACGGAACTTTTGCGCTTTGCGATGTCGCTTCGATGGGATTTCGAGGCTGCGCGTTTCTCTGCGACCTAGAAATTTATATAAGTATATACATATAACAGAGGGATCGATTTTTCATTAGTTCTTAAAAAAATATATACATGAAGAGCAAAAATGCGAACATATTAATAAATTATTAATTAGATGCGACCTAGAAATTTATATAAGTATATATAACAGAGAAATATAAATTTTTCATTAGTTCTTCGGAAAAAATATATAAAGAACAAAAATGCGAACATATTAGTAAATTATTAATTAGATGCGAAATTTATATAAGTATATATATATAACAGAGAAATATAAATTTTTCATTAGTTCTTCGGAAAAAATATATAAAGAACAAAAATGCGAACATATTAGTAAATTATTAATTAGATGCGAAATTTATATAAGTATATATAACAGAGAAATATAAATTTTTCATTAGTTCTTCGGAAAAAATATATAAAGAACAAAAATGCGAACATATTAGTAAATTATTAATTAGATGTGAAATTTATATAAGTATATATATAACAGAGAAATATAAATTTTTCATTAGTTTTTCGGAAAAAATATATACAGAACAAAAATGCGAACATATTAGTAAATTATTAATTAGATGCGAAATTTATATAAGTATATATATAACAGAGAAATATAAATTTTTATTAGTTCTTCGGAACAAATATATGAAGAGTAAAAATGCGAATATATTACTAAATTACTAAACGAAATATAGTTTGAGCGCGCGAATATCAGAAAAAATAATATGCGAAATAATCGCCGAGCGGATATTCTGCCGCACAATTTTTGGACGAGATATTACGCGGGTATAATTAACTCAATTTTAAAAGTTTAGCCGAGGCAGTCACGGTTTTTTTTTTTTATTTTTATCGATTCGACGCGAAAATAGTTTATCGCCATGGTATTTAGACCGTAAATATTTCCGATATAACCAATTTTCCAATACTGATAGTTGAAGAAACATAGTTTGTTTATTGCATTTCTAGCGAAATTTTAATGTTCAATCTTAAATGCAAAGAGGTAATCGGTTGTATTATTTTTAAAAGGCATTCTACCATTGATAAATATATGTCGAGAGACACGACGTACCATCGTGATGCTGTCTATCTGTCACTTTGGCTGCGTTGTTGAATCGAAAAAAATTATGCGTATTGATTGGCGAAAAGAATGCATCTTTTGTCATCGAATAGCTTGCATTAGTGACATTGGGCATTGCACTCTGATATTGTAGAATATTTCCGATTCCAGCTCTAGCTGCTCGAATGGAAGCAAACTTTTCTTGCTTTTCTCGCTCTTCGATATATCTCAGAAGTAAATTTAACTGCCGAATCTAAGAATTGTAAATTTTTTTATAATATATTTTTTTATTATTTTGCTAATTCTTTTTGTTTCATAAAAACTTGGTCACTATTCTTAATTAAATATTATAGAATTTAATCAACAAGTAATTATATCTCAGGTATTTAATAAAATCTCACCAAATACTCGTGGACTTCTTGGACTTTTGTTTTTTCTTTTGCTGTCAAAGCGTTATATTCCTTTACTAGAGTATTCAATACTTTCACTTTTTTCTGTAACTCGTTAATATCTGCGGTCTCGGAAGTATTGGCAAATAAAAATTTGCGTTTCCAATCCTGCTCCGGAATTATTTTTGCATGGATCAATGGCAACGATGGTACCTAGTTTAAAAATAAATATGTATTAATCAAGAAAAATGTGATATGATTATAATAAATATTTCAAAATTATGGGATACTTCTTCGAACGGTTCACTCTCTCGATCTATTTCCAGCATCCATCCCAAAAATTCTCGCATATCTGACGATAAGGAAACGCAAGTTTTTCTCTGGACTTCGTTCAGAATTAATCTACCAAGGAGTTCCATAATTCTCTTCATCGTTGTTTCCGTCTGATTTGTCTAAATTGCATTAATTTAGAAAATACAATAAATCAAAATTCTAATTTTTTTCAAAAGATACAATCAAAACTTCTATAATTAAATAATAGCGATTACTCCATCCGCGTCAGGTCCTTGCCGATAAATATTACTCGCTGCAACCACATGTTCAGTTTTATAATTACGTTGAAGTCCAGGACCAAAGACGTTCTTCAATTGATCATTATTTTGAATCTGTACGACATGAGTGCTAATTATTATTAATTGAATTTTGGAATAAAAAATGTAAATAACTGCACACGTCAAACAATTTTTTGTCTTTACAAATACACTGATAAAAAATTGTTTTAACTTGACTAAATTTTTCAACTAAAATATTATTTTATTATTTGAATATATATATTTGTATTTAACAGGGTGTCTAGCGGTCAGGGAAATCGGGAAAACTGGGCATTGTCAGGGAATTTTATAAATCTGGAATTGTCAGGAAATTTTATTATTTATCTGGATTTTTTCACATTATTCTATATTTGTCTCAATAATTTAAATTTTTTATTAAATAATAATAAACTTTTCCTTTACTCCCAGCTTGCCAATTTTCTGTGTTGTTAAAAATCGATTCATCTACAGCGTGTTCGTTAATTTATATTTTCATCGTCGTGTTATTTTATTTCAATGTGTTTGATAGAGACAAAACTAAAAAATCTGATGTAATATAAATAAAAAAGGTGATTATTTAAATAGTTTATAGTGACATGTTTGTTTCGATTCTCGTACATAATGCAGATTGTATAATTGATTAAAATTTTTGTTTTAACTTCCGAACCTTTTATTTAACATATAATTGATCTATTATATAGATATATGCAAATTATATATTTGGAAAAAATAATACTAAAAAGTCAGGGAAAAAAATAATTTCTGGTTTTGGAAAATCTGAAAAAGTCAGGGAATTTTTTCATTAAATCTGCTGGACACCCTGTTTAAGTCAAAGAAACATTTTGTTATATTCAATTTTAGTATTTTTACGTGTTCGATTAACAAAATAATATTTATTTAATATATTTGTTTTTCTAACGGAATGAGAATTTAATTATTTAATTATCAATAAATCTTTAGATCTTATTTAATTTTACTCGTTCAGTTCGCCTACAATATTTACCTTTTTTTAATTTTGTCAAAATAATATTTAGTTAAAGGCTTTAGTCAAGTTAACAGATTTTTTGTATGTCGCGCGCAACACATTCTTCACTCGCCATTTTGTTACATTTATTATGTTATATTCAATTTTACTATTTTTACGTGTTTGATTAACAAAATAATATTTATTTAATATATTTGTTTCTCTAACGGAATGAGAATTTAATTATTTAATTATCAATAAATCTTTAGATCTTATTTAATTTTGCTCGTTCAGTTCGCCTACAATATTTACCTTTTTTTAATTTTGTCAAAATAATATTTAGTTAAAGGCTTTAGTCAAGTTAACAGATTTTTTATATGTCGCGCGCAACACATTCTTCACTCGCCATTTTGTTACATTTATTATGTTATATTCAATTTTACTATTTTTACGTGTTCGATTAACAAAATAATATTTATTTAATATATTTGTTTTCTAACGGAATGAGAATTTAATTATTTAATTATCAATAAATCTTTAGATCTTATTTAATTTTGCTCGTTCAGTTCGCCTACAATATTTACCTTTTTTTAATTTTGTCAAAATAATATTTAGTTAAAGGCTTTAGTCAAGTTAACAGATTTTTTGTATGTCGCGCGCAACACATTCTTCACTCGCCATTTTGTTACATTTATTATGTTATATTCAATTTTAGTATTTTTACGTGTTCGATTAACAAAATAATATTTATTTAATATATTTGTTTTTTTAACGGAATGAGAATTTAATTATTTAATTATCAATAAATCTTTAGATCTTATTTAATTTTGCTCGTTCAGTTCGCCTACAATATTTACCTTTTTTAATTTTGTCAAAATAATATTTAGTTAAAGACTTTAGTCAAGTTAACAGATTTTTTGTATATCGCGCGCAACACATTCTTTACTTGCCATTTTGTTACATTTATTATGTTATATTCAATTTTACTATTTTTACGTGTTTGATTAACAAAATAATATTTATTTAATATATTTGTTTCTCTAACGAAAATGAGAATTTAATTATTTAATTATTAATAAATCTTTAGATCTTATTTAATTTTGCTCGTTCAGTTCGCCTACAATAATTACCTTTTTTTAATTTTGTCAAAATAATATTTAGTTAAAGACTTTAGTCAAGTTAACAGATTTTTTGTATATCGCGCGCAACACATTCTTCACTCGCCTGTTCGAATATCCGTTCGACGATTTTTCCAGCTAGCTCGCCGCGAAGAGCGACGTCCATCTGCGACTCGTCGTCGACGTTGTCGGCTGCGAGGAGCAGCGTAATTTCCTTTCTTCGTGCGTCGCTCTTTTCCGGCTTCACTGTCTGAAAAATCATCTTTAATTCTTTTCTCTCTTATAATCCCGATCTACTCCTACGCGCCGATCGCCGATCGCCCTTTCACTCACACTCCGATCCTCCGCGTTCTCGTAAAGCACTTTTTCACTCGGCACTTTTGACTCCTCATTCACCTCCGCACGACGCAGACTTTGCTCGGCCGTCTTACTCTTCTGGATCCTGCCGCGTTTTCCGGCCGAAGGAGACGCTTTGCTCTTCTTCTTCGGCTTTAAATCTCGATTAGCATTTCTCGATACGTCGGATCGATGCGTCTTCTGATGTCTTCTGTTTCCACTCGAAGACGAATGTGAACTGTTCTTCCTTGCGTTCTTCTTCTGCGAAGAAGATTGCTGGGTTTTCATTTTTTTCCCAGATTTCGCCTTCTTTCTCGAATTGATCCGAGGAGTCTGCGAGTATCGCTCCAAGTTTTGTACGTCGTCATTCCAATTTGTGGTCGCGTATTCGTCGTATACACTGTCGGATTGATCCCCGAGAATATTCGGAAGCTGAAAGCGATCGCTCAGACTTTTGTCCGCCTCGTCGGAATCGTCTAGATTCTCGTCTACGTCGTCGTAAAACGTGCGATACGAAGCAGCAGCTCTTCTGATTCTCGCTGCTTCGTTATTTACGTATTTTTGTTCGGCAGCTTCCAAGTCCTCGTCGCTGTCCACAATATTATTTGTATTTGTCAAAATCGGTTCTTGAATTTTTTTAGCTTCAATTCTCCGCTCGGATGCATCGTCATGAACATCAAATAAATTGATCAAATCCGCGGATGTTTTATTGTACCAATTATGCGACATCGATGAATTGTCATGAAAGATTTGCGAGGAATTGTAAGATTTGGAATTTGTATTGTTAGCATTTGCCGTATCCTGATCGTGAGTTTCATTCGAGTCGGAAATTGTTTCGTCCACAGCCTTTAGTCCTCTGCCAAACCTAACTTTCACATTATCGTCGAAATCATCCTGCAAAGATTCCACAAACGACTCGACCAAGTCTTGCGAATTGATCGCCACTTGTTTTTGCGAATTTACATTTCGTTTCAGTACTTTACGCATCTCGGACTCGATGTACTTTCGATTCTCATACAGAGAACCGGAATTTGGATTGACCTCTGATCGTCCTGTCGTACTTTTTTCGGGGAATGGGTTATTTTCATCTTCTACAATCTATATATATATCGATATATTATTATATTTGTGATTGCAAGAAATTTATTATATTGTGACTAACGATAACCACATACGTACTTTAGATACTTTTGATTCTGTAGTAGTATTGACGGAAAATATATTTGGCGAATTTTTCGTCGTAGATTTACTCGATTCGAGGCCATTTTTAAATGTATCAGCTGTGACTTTAAGCGCGACATAATTGCTCGTTGCAGCACTATTCGAATCTGCAACTCAAATAAACATTTTATAAAAATTTACATATATTATATTATTTAATTTACGTTACATTATTTATATTATATAATTTCTTATATTATATATTATTTTATATATTTATATATTTTATATATTATATATTATTTTTTATATTATTATATAATTTCTTATATTATATATTATTTTATATATTTATATATTTTATATATTATATATTATTTTTATATTATTATATATATTATATTATTATTATAGGAAAGAAATTCACAAATACAGACCCGATTAAAATAAAAAAATAAATAAGAAATACTTGATGATCGCATTCAATATTTACTCGTCCAGGATGTATCGGTCGATGGAAAGCTTCTTTGCTCATTGTCGTGACTAAAGCCAAAGAGTCTATCGTTCGTTGGCTGTAATTGTGCGAGATTTGTGTCAAGTTTATTATCCGATTCATAGCGTAGTCTTTGATCGCCCCTGAGACGAGGTCCGCTCTTTAATTCGCCATCAGTCCAATCATACACGTTCTTTAATTCCTCGTATAGAGACTCGACATTGTTCGGATGTCTTCGATCCTTCTCTTGATAATAATAATGGTCTTCTGGTCTATGTGAAGTAAACTATCAGACCATTTCAAGGCTCTCAAATACAAACATTTTAACAAATAATATCAATAGATTTTATTTGTCAATTTTTCTCAATTAAAACAGTTGAATTTTTTAATACAATTAATTATATATAATTAGAGAAACAGATATAATTATATGTAATTAAAAAATATAATTAATTCAAAATAAACAATTTCTCTAAAAATTTATATTAATGATTGAATAAAATTTTCAATTTTTTTAAATGTTAATTTTATATACATATTCTATGATACAATTTAAAAGCAATGATACCGTTCGTTTTCAAAGTCTTCGTAGAAATCTGTCCAGGCTTCCAGTTCTCTGTTTTGCGTCATAAATTTGATAGGTTGAATATCTAACAAGATATTTTCGATAACATCAGGATTTACGTCTGCACGTGCATTAGATACGATATTCAAAGGTTCATTCGAACTAATTTTCTTTCTCTGATTGTCATTTAATATCAGTTCCGAATTCTTCGGCAATGCCATTCTGTTCTCAAATGATTGGTCCAACCTATTAGACGTCTATTTTTTGATCATTTGGATCAATAACATCACATTTTATGCATTTATATTTGAGACTACATTTATATTTAAAATAAAAAATATATTTAAAAATATATGTAGATTTCTCATTATTGACATATATATAAATTATTACCATTTTTAACTCGCAAATTAATTCAATTTACCATTTCGATTTCAAATCTGTCGATTTTTCTCGATAAACATTATTTGTAAAACCTTCGCCTCGATGAAGCTTTCCCGAGTTTTCCTCAGTCGACAATCTTCCTTTTCTGAACGCATTTTCGAAATTTGATTCCGACGTATCGGATAGTTTCTTATCTTGCTGACTATTTCTTGAAGTCTTACTCTTATGTTCGCCAAGATCGACGACGATTTGTTCCTTTGGCTCTTTGTGTTTTGCCTTCTTGCGTTTCTCCTTCATCATCGCCTCGAGGTTCTCGTTTTTCTTTTTTCCTAAATTACTTGGCGTATACGTTTTATCCGTAGCTGATCAAAATATTGACACACGAATTTGGATTAAGTTCACAAATGTTTATTACGACTTTCGTTATATTTTATTTATTTTAATTTTAGCTACTACATTTAATTTTATATGTTACATTTAATTTTATTTATTACATTTATATATTCTCTTACCACGTTTTATCTCCGATCTGTCATCTTTGATCGGGAGTTGATCGTCTTTATTCCGAATTCCCTGCTCGTTCATTGCATCGTTCTCCTCGTCATTATCATCGTAATCGTAATATTCAATCATGCCCAGCATACTGCGTCTTTTTCTCGTATAATCGGCATCCTTGCTCTTGTTCTTCCTTTCAAGCTTCTCTTTAATTAACATATCGACTGTGGCCTTCACAGGATCGATCCGTTGCCTCGATAAAGCTCGTCCTTCTCTTTCGCTTTCCATTGCTCCATCATTATCTGCGAATGCATTACATCACTTTTGCATTTGCGTTACTTTTGCTATAAAAATCTCATCAATTTATACCTTCCATTAAATCCTCTTCACCATCATTATAATCCCCTTTAACTCTTTCGACATTTTCATACTCTTCATTATTCCCTTGTTTTTCATCGTGATTTACCGCCACTTCGTTTTTCGCGACGTCCACATCCTCCGCCGCATTATTGGATTCAAGATCCTCAAAGGAATATGTAGATCGTTTGTAACGAGCCTGATGATTTGCGTCCGACGTCCGAGGATTAAAATTATTTCGCGACGTTTCAGAACTCACCTCAAAGTTATCGTCGCGTTTCACTCTAATTAAAACTTTTCCGGAATCCGCGGAATTAATCATTTCACTTTGCTGCCGATCCTCGTTCCGAAAGTTCCCGATACGATCGTCGATCGCGGAATTAAGAACCGATCCGGTCCTCTTTATCGTAGAATCGTCAGCCTCGGCGTCGCTCCACAATAATCTCCTCCGTAAATGATTATCGGATTCGCGAGGCCTCACCGTCACAGTTCCCTCCTTTACATTCATAGTCTCATTTCCGTTTGACCCGACAACACGAATATCGATTTCGGCGGCATCCGAATTTCCATTCGATTTATTTGCGCCGCCGTTCGTCGCGCTTACAGGCGGAACCATCTGTTGCTGCTTCCGCAAATCGTCGCCGGCGGTCATCGAAGCTAAATTCTCGAAGCCTATTCGATCTTTCGCTATTATCGATTCGCCGATCCCGGACGCGTTTGCGTTTCTCGCGACTTTCGCCGATCGCGCATCGATAACGAGATCAATCGAAAAGTCGGCCTTCCTCGCATTTGCATCCTCCGTCGACTCGTCGTCATTCGTTCTCGTTCGTTCCTGCATAGGGAAATTTGTTTTCTTGTTAAAAAAGAGTCCCCGTTGAAATTTTTGTGTTAAATATTTTACACAAGTCATGTGTGTTGTGTTAATTAAAACGATTAAAAAAGATGTAAAATAACACAATGTGCAACTATTTTTAATTTTACACAATGTATATATTCTGTTAAAATTTAGAGAAAAAATGTTGATTTTTTATTTTAAGTGGGGACGATAAAATCTAAAATTAACATATTTTATTTAGTTAATTTTTACCAGGGTTGGGTAAGAACTAGTTAATTCGTTAAAAATTTTTAACTTTAACTTTAGTTATTTTTGACCTTAAACTTTTTAACTTTTTTCCCAACAATAAGTTAAATTTTTTAATATCTAAATACCTAATTATTTTTTTATAAGTTATAAAGATATTATTTATAAATTAAAATATTATTAATTTTTATGTTTATTTGTTATCAATTGTAATTACCAAAAAATATATTTCCGTATAAAAATCAAAATTATTTCTTTGTTATTTGTTAATATAAATTTTAAAGAATTAACAAACAAAATTCTAATTTAATATAAATATTTAAAAAATTAACTTTTGATTTAACTCTTCAGTTAATTTAATCTTAATTTAACTTTAACGGAGTTATTTTTTTGTTTATGCAACTTTTAACTTAACTAAATTAATTTTATAAACAACTAACTTTAACTTGACCGAACCCTGATTATTTTTACATTAAAACTGTGTTAATTTTACGCAAAACTTATTTGAAATTATTTAAAGTTTTGCATTTATTTTGTGTCAAAATATTAACACAAAAATTTCTGTGGACCGTTTGTGGGACATCTGTTAAATTTCACACAAATGTTTTAACTGTGTGCAACAATCTTGCCTCTGCTTTCTGCATCTGATACGAACGTCCCCGAGGCTCAAAGACTCTGATCAGCTCGCGGTTTTTTCTTTGCGTTTTCCCGCTCATCTCGAACCTTTCTCTCTTCTCTCGGATTGTCTCGCGCTGAATTCGCCGCGATTCATTTGCCGTCGTGTCAAAACCGCGCGACGTATTTCCCTCGGGAGATCCCACTCCCGATTGTCCGTCATCCGTGCCGAGTCGCGATTTTTTCCACGCCGATAATTTTACCCAGTCGCTCTTCCCGTTTCCCACTTCGAACTTCCGAGGGTGATCGACGCCGCTGTCTGTTGAAAAATGTATCGGAGCCACGAATGTGTCCGAGACAGCAAAATTTTTTGGTATCTTCTCAGTTTGAGAATGTTGACCGAGTTTCTTCCAATTTATTCCCGGAACTTTATCTATACGTTCTGGCAAATGCGATGCGTTGTCGATGGAATAATTGTTTAAATTAGGCTCCGTAATTGAAGGATATCTCGATTCGGAAATATTCGCTTTGTCAGCTACTAATGATGAGGTAATCGTTAAATTAATAAAACAACGGTTTAAGAAAGATCCTTTGTCTAAGGAGGACTGCGAATCGGAAATGTTCATCTTATTTAAAGTCCTTTTTAAACTTCCTCCGTTATTAAGATAACCAGAATACAATCGTACGACTCCTTTGGTTTTTTGCATCTCGGTTACATTTCCAAGAGCGTCTTTAATTATCTCAGCTTTCCGATGACTTTTAGTTTCTGGAACATCCCTCTGATTATTTAAATCTGCGATAAAGCTCCTTCTATTACGTTTCGCGCGATCGTGTAATTCTTTCGAATTTCGTTCTCCAAGATATAATTCCCGAAACTTTGCTCCTTGAAATATACTCGAGTCACTTTCCTCTTCACTGCCTACATTTTTAGCTCTCTTAATCCTCCAGATCGTCTCTCCATACGGATGTTCGTCAAGATCTCTCTTGAAATCAAATATTTCGGCTGTCGATCTCGGATGGTTCCACGAACTAGATTCTTTCAAAAAATTGATCATGATAAAGACAACACAATAAAATAATATTTATGCATTACCTTTCGAAAGCACATTTTCTTTCTTATTGCTTAGTGTCAACTTGTTTCTTAAATCTAACACAATCTTTTTCAAAGACTCCAACGTCAATGGTGTATTTTGAGATTTTTGGTTTTTAATTGGAGATTTTCGCAAAACCCTGAAATCGTCTGCACGTATTGGATCGTTTAACGATGCGATTTCTAATTGATTCCTCGTGTCATTGTCGACATGCAGCTTTTCTTCGTCTTTGCTCGAATCTAAGAGAGCAGATATCTTTCTCTGTGCCATTTGAAATTAAGTTAATAATTGTAACGTTTGAATCTCAATAATACCAGAATTAGCAAGAATTTCGCGAGCAGAGTTGTAATCACGAAGCCATGTTCCTTCGTCGTTAGTCACTTTGGGATTCTCATTAAAATTCGACCAGTCGCCCGAGGAATGAAGATCCCTCTTCCTTGTCCAATCTTTCAGTGGCTGATCGGCTATCGCTCCTCCTTCGTAGATACTTCTGTCTAACCTACACTCAAGAGTGAAACAAATTTTTTTCTATCCGTCGCGAAAGACATGTGCTGGCTGTTAGAATTTGTTGAACATGAAAAATTTAACGGCATAATTTTAATTTATTAATCATAAATTGTCAGTTCCATTATAGCCAATTTTATTAAATAATTAAAAAAATATATTTGAGAAAATAATATTATTTTGGCCCTAAAATATTTATCTTTATCATTTTATCACTTGTTTTAGTAATAGATATAGATATTTATATTAATTTTTTAAATCTATTACACAACATAATTGATTGATTAAACAGCTTTGATACTGTTTCATTACTTACGTGCCAGGATATCGATAGAGAATGTCGAAATCAGCGTCATCGGCCTCTCTCTTAAATGTCATGTCGTTATCCAGATAGACTCTCTGAGGGACGTCGCGAGTACTTTTCTCTCCGTATTTCTTCTTCTGCAGCATCCACATCCTTTCATAATTCCGATCGAAGCCTCTCTTGCCGCGTAACCTACTTCTATAATCGATATCAGTCGGCTCTAGAACATCCTCTGTGTTGACGGATACCGTAGAATGCCAGTTTGTATACGCCAGCGAACTGAACCAGAAATATCCGCGTTAAATTATTCAATATAAATCGAAACGTTTCTAAATAGCTGTCGAACGAAAATACAGACGATCGAGTTTATCGAGAATTTTCTTATCCCTTTGAAATATAGGTTTTCCTATATAAATTTAGTTTAAAAAATTCATTAAAAAATCTTATATTTTATTTTTTATTCGTTGTCTTTTTTTCCCGCGCATTAAAGTGAAACAAGCTCTTACTCATCTGGCCGAGTCATACGATTAACACAACGCGTAGCGTGATCCATCCACTTCAAATCATCCTGCGCCTTCAGAACGTCCTCCAGAAATCTATTCAGAGCCGCGCTACTTCTCTCGTTGCTCCTCGTCGCGGATTTATTCGCGGTGCGATTTCGAATGTCAATCTGCGTTCGAACAATCTCAACGTTAAGATGATCCTAAACGTTCTTGAGAAGTCTGTGTTTTCCGTTCTGTTTTATCGACAAAATGTGAAGTTAGATAAACTATAAATCTATTTAGTGGGGCTATACGGATTGTTCTTTACCTAGAATTAGAACGCTTCGCCCTTTGTTAATATTAATAGAATTCAATCTGTATAGTCTCATATATCTTGATTCTTCGAATTCACAATTCTGTAAGATATATGAGACTATACAGATTGCAATAAGTCTTTTTTCTGTACAAATTAAAGTATTAATATTAACAAAGGGCGAAGCGTTCTAATTTTGGGTAAAAAACAATCCGTATAAATAGATTTATAGCTGAATCTAACCTCATATTTTGTCGATAAAACAGGAATAAAACTTAGATTAGCTTTAGGATTCCCCTAAAGCGACTTTATCGATGGAAATCAATTTTTTTCACCATTAGCTGTATCCGCGTGTATTTAAATAAAAATATCTCGGGAAGAGCGAGAAAATTAACGTCTTTTTTTTGTACAAATTAAAGTATTAATATTAACAAAAAGCAAAGCGTTCTAATTTTGGGTAAAAAACAATCCGTATAAATAGATTTATAGCTGAATCTAACCTCATATTTTGTCGATAAAACAGGAATAAAACTTAGGTTAGCTTTAGGATTCCCCTAAAGCGACTTTATCGATGGAAATCAATTTTTTTCACCATTAGCTGTATCCGCGTGTATTTAAATGAAAATATCTCGGGAAGAGCGAGAAAATTAACGTCTTTTTTCTGTACAAATTAAAGTATTAATATTAACAAAGAGCAAAGCGTTCTAATTTTGGGTAAAAAACAATCCGTATAAATAATTTATAGCTGAATCTAACCTCATATTTTGTCGATAAAACAGGAATAAAACTTAGGTTAGCTTTAGGATTCCCCTAAAGCGACTTTATCGATGGAAATCAATTTTTTCACCATTAGCTGTATCCCGCGTGTATTTAAATAAAAATATCTCGGGGAGAGCGAGAAAATTAACGCGTTGCATAAGGGGGTTTAACAGCGCGTATCCTGCAGCGGCATTCCTGTCGCGAAGACAGCGGAATGTCCTGTCACTGACAATTCCTTTCTGCCAAGCCCCCGCCGGCACGTTAGCACGTTATAATAATACCGGGCGTTCCGTATATATATATATTTATATATATATAACGCACCTCTCTCGTATATGTACCATTTCGCTCCCGTCCTTTTTCCGACGCGAGCCAAGACAATGGCTCTCTACATCCGGGTGCCGCGGGCGGGATACGCGGTGTTATTAAAAATTCACTCCCTTCCTCCTAGAGCGAACTGAAGTGGCCTCTGGCAATCTGCATCTCATTCCCGTCGGGGCCCTTGTGACATCAGGTGGCTGGCAGCTAGCCGCGCGGAGGAAGAGAGATGGGAAATATTTGAGCGTCGCGACGCAAGACGGACCCGCAGTTTTGCGGCGGGACGCGACGTCGCGGTTGGTTTTCGCCAAACAAAAAAAAGGAATCTTACACCCAATTACACGCGGCATTTAACTAAATAAAGACTCGCCGTCTTCCCTCTCATCTACGCGGCCTCCCTTTTAATTTCTCTCCCACCCCATCCCCTAAGCTCGGTGTACGGGACCTAGAATTCCTTTTATTAAACTGCCACGCGATAATGAATCGTTTTTGTTGGTTGAACGACGTTTAATTTTATTTTAGAATGCATAAGTGTTATATTACCGCATATTGTGAACGCGTATAAGGAGCAGTACGATCCAGTGGTATGATCGAAATATTTTTTCAGAAATATTATGAGTGTCTTTCTTCTTTTTTTATATAAAAGTTATATATATATTTATATTAATTTCTTGTGCATACATATATATTAATTTTATTTTGGAATAGCAATATTATATAATATGATCAAAATATTTTTTAAGAAACATTATAAGCATCTCCCTTTTTTTCATATATGTATAAGAATATATATATATTATTTCATATATAATTTAATTAAATTTAATTTTTATTTTATTTTATTTTAAAATAGCAATATAATAATATAATCAAAATATTTTTTAAGAAACATTAGGAGCGTCTCTCTTTTTTTCATGTATAGAAATTATGTATATCTTGTTTCTCATATAATTTAAAAATGCATAAGTATTTTATTACTGCATATTGTAAACGCATATAAAATAAGCGTTATGTTCTAGTAGTATGATGAAAATGTTTAAGAAACATAAGCGTCTTTCTTTTCATATATAAGAATTATATCTTATTTCTTATATATAATTCTTTCGGTGTTGTCTTAATAGCTCCAAATGTTCCTCAATTAACATCGCGATCCCACAAATTTTGCGAACGCCTTTTCGTGGGTTCTCCATCAATCGGCTTTCGCGAGAGTCGGGTAAACCAAAAGTACGGCGGGCATAATCAATCACAAAGCGTTTTCGGCCGCAATACGCGGCTGAAGAGAGGAACGATAGACGACAGTTCGCATAGTTCCGAAACGAGAACGGTAATATCGCTGGCCTTGGGGCGACCAACCCTTTGTCATTTTGTCATTCGATGTAAGAACCGAAAAGCGACGAGAGAGAGAGAGAGAGCCCCGAGTCTCTCTCTGCGTGTCTCTCGCCGAAAGAAATTCACGCTTGAGATATTAAAACACTTTTGAAAACAGGCAGATCTGTCGTTTTTAGTCTGATGTCATTTCCGTTATCAATCACGTCCAATAATCGGTCTGTAAAATCTCGCCTCGAAGATACTTCTTTGAAATAATCAGGGTTGGGTAATAACTAGTTAATTAGTTAAAAGTTAATAACTTTTAACTTAGCTTAGTTAATTTAAAATGTATTAATTTTTAACTTCAATTAATTATTTTTGATCTTAAACTTATTAACTTTTTTTCTAAGTTAAATTTTTTATCTCTGAATATCATTATTTTTAAATTAAAGTATTATTAATTTTTATGTTCATTTGTCATCAATTGTAATTACTAAAAAATATATTTCTATATAAAAATCAAAATTTCTTTGTTATTATATATTTTAAAAGAATCAACAAACAAAATTCCAATTTAACATAAATAATATTTTTAAAAATTAACTTTTATCTTAAGTTAATTTTTTGTTCATAAAACTTTTAACTTAACTAAATTAATTTTAGAAGCAACTAACTTTAACTTAACTTAGTTTTAAAAAATCATTAACTTACCCAACCCTGGAAATAATTGAAGATGTATCATCCTCGAAATAGAAATGAACGATTCTGAATTAATTGATATATCAAAATTGTTTCAATTTACATACGTGTATTTCTAATTTTGCTTTATTATTTCCACGTTGCTGCGAAGAGACGGTCGATTCTTTCCAATTTCCAATCGAGTCAGATTTCTTCTTCGTGTGCGTCATTTCGTTGCGATTATTTATTTCCGCCGAGTTCAAAGTAGGAATGATGACAAGCATGACGTAGAGCAGAAAGCACATTCGAAGATAGAATAATGAGGGAAAGGACGATCTGGCTATTCGTTTCATGCTGTAAAAAAATTAAAAATTAATATAAATATAATTAATCTAAATTAAATATAATTAATACTAATATCAATAAATTAATATGTTGTTGCAAAATTATCTTAAGTATTAAATGCTTCATTTTCAATATAATAGGATCTATAATATTTATATTAAGAAAGCTTTTAATATCTTATCTCATTAATATATTAATTATGCAATTTAATTTTAATCATATAGTCATGTAAAAAAATAATTGGTAACTTAAACGAAGAGAGGAGAGATATTGGCGATCGATCGTTCGACGATTTGCACGAGTCGAAGAAATGGAGCAAGTTGAATTCAATTTAGTGAGCTCGCGCGAGAAAGAGAGAGAGTGAGAGGGAAAGAGAGTTCGTCACTTCATAAATCGCGGAATTGCGCACGCGTATATGTATGTGGAGTATGTAACGGGCTATTAAGTCCCGATCCTCGGGAAGACATTAATTTCACGGCCGCGCATAACTTTCCTGTCACAATTTGCATTCGGACCTGGACCTCTCTCCTTGGAGCGCGCGGCGGGAAATTAAAAACGTCCGATCGTAAAGCCTCGAAAAAGAGGTAAAATATCACCGTCCTTCGCATTCTGAATCGTAATCAGCCGCGAGAGAACTCCGCGTCTCGTTCGAACCCCCTTTGTCCGCGACGAGGAAAATTCTTCTTGTAATCGGAAAATTCGGCCGGGAAAATGTGTACCGCGAGAAGCGATTATATGATTTTTTCTAGGAGAGAGTACTTTAATTAAAATTTTTCTTTCCTATTTTTTGTTCTTTCTTAATTTTTTTATTTTAAATTTTTTTATATTAAAAATATGCAAACAAATTTCAGTGTTTATTCAAAAGGAGAGCAAATGGTTAATTTTGTGCTGATTTCAAAGGAGGCAAATGCCCTCTGAGAATATGATTGAGCAATTATATGATTTTTTCTAGGGGAGAGTACTTATAATTAAAATTTTTCTTTCCTATTTTTTGTTCTTTCTTAATTTTTTTATTTTCAATCTTTTTTATATTAAAAATATGCAAACAAATTTCAGTGTCTATTCAAAAGGAGAGCAAATGGTTAATTTTGTGCTGATTTCAAAGGAGGCAAATGCCCCCTGAGAATATGATTAAGCAATTATATGATTTTTTCTAGGGGAGAGTACTTATAATTAAAATTTTTCTTTCCTATTTTTTGTTCTTTCTTAATTTTTTTATTTTCAATTTTTTTTATATTAAAAAAATGCAAACAAATTTCAGTGTCTATTCAAAAGAAGAGCAAATAGTTAATTTTGTACTCATTCCAAAGGAGGCAAATGCCCCCTGAGAATTATATAATACGCGAGAAGCGATTATATGATTTTTTCTAGGGGAGAGTACTTTAATTAAAATTTTTCTTTCCTATTTTTTGTTCTTTCTTAATTTTTTTATTTTCAATTTTTTTATATTAAAAATATGCAAACAAATTTCAGTGTCTATTCAAAAGGAGAGCAAATAGTTAATTTTGTACTCATTCCAAAGGAGGCAAATGCCCCCTGAGAATTATATAATACGCGAGAAGCGATTATATGATTTTTTCTAGGGGAGAGTACTTTAATTAAAATTTTTCTTTCCTATTTTTTGTTCTTTCTTAATTTTTTTATTTTCAATTTTTTTATATTAAAAATATGCAAACAAATTTCAGTGTCTATTCAAAAGGAGAGCAAATGGTTAATTTTGTACTCATTCCAAAGGAGGCAAATGCCCCCTGAGAATTATATAATACGCGAGAAGCGATTATATGATTTTTTCTAGGAGAGAGTACTTTAATTAAAATTTTTCTTTCCTATTTTTTGTTCTTTCTTAATTTTTTTATTTTCAATTTTTTTATATTAAAAATATGCAAACAAATTTCAGTGTCTATTCAAAAGGAGAGCAAATAGTTAATTTTGTACTCATTCCAAAGGAGGCAAATGCCCCCTGAGAATTATATAATACGCGAGAAGCGATTATATGATTTTTTCTAGGAGAGAGTACTTTAATTAAAATTTTTCTTTCCTATTTTTTGTTCTTTCTTAATTTTTTTATTTTCAATTTTTTTATATTAAAAATATGCAAACAAATTTCAGTGTCTATTCAAAAGGAGAGCAAATGGTTAATTTTGTACTCATTCCAAAGGAGGCAAATGCCCCCTGAGAATTATATAATACGCGAGAAGCGATTATATGATTTTTTCTAGGAGAGAGTACTTTAATTAAAATTTTTCTTTCCTATTTTTTGTTCTTTCTTAATTTTTTTATTTTCAATTTTTTTATATTAAAAATATGCAAACAAATTTCAGTGTCTATTCAAAAGGAGAGCAAATGGTTAATTTTGTACTCATTCCAAAGGCGGCAAACGCCCCCTGAGAATTAATTTCTGCTTGTGGACGCATTCGCTGTCTCTCCGTCTAGAATCTAGATAATGATTAATCACTCGTAGAGCCGCGATATCAATCTCCAAAAGTGTCGTCATTTTCATTCTGTGTCCCTCTGCGAAAGAAAAAACCGCGAAGAACTCGCCATTCAGCGGAAGCGCAAGGAAGATAAAGACTTAAGCGATCGTTTCGTCCTCCGGTGATCGCGCGAATGTGAAAGGGAAACCGAGGAAAGATTTCCGAGGAGGGTCGCTCGTTCGCCCCGTAATTTCTCCCGATGGAGAAGAGGGAAAGAGGTAGTCGAACGTAGGAAGAAACGGTAGGAGTCGGTTATTTTTGGTCGTTCCGTCGAGGAGAGATCGCGAATAAAGAAGCGGGCTAACGAAAAAAAAAAAAAAAAATAACGAAGAGGGATGAAAAAGGAGGGCAATATAATGTACCGCGTAAGAGCCATTAGGTTATTAAAAAACAGTGGTCGCTAGATGCGAATAATGAACCAGCTGGCTGGTGGCCACCGAAGGGGCGCGACAAAGGCGGAAAATTAGTCCTGATAACTTCACGTTTGAATGCGAAGAAAGGTTCGGGGGATGAGGGAGGAAACGCGAAAGGAGGGAAAACGAGGCGCGCTGGTAATCTCGACTCGCCTTTTCCTGTGATGACGGGCTTGTTCCCGTTCGTCTGTGTGTTTTCCCCGTCGGGTTGGGTGTTTGCGAAGACATCGCGGCGAAAAGATGTCTCGATTTCCTCGAGCGCGATTTTCCACGGGGAGGAAAGCGATACCTCCTTCGGAATTAGTCTCTCGACGATCTTCGGTTTTCTCTCAGATAGAGGAAAATTCGAAGGAAGAAGAAAATATGCGACCGTACAGACGCGATATTGTATATCTATCTTTATTTGGTAGGAAAGAGAAATTTATCATTAAAATGAATGACACGTAATTATTATTCTTGAATTACACATGTCTATCTTTGAAAGGTATAAATAAATATTCTGAGTAAATATATAGTTAATTATATATAAATAATTTTTATGTACAAAATTTATATAAATAAAATATATAAAATATAATATAAAAAATAATATTATATAAATATTATTATTTATATAAATTTATATAAATAAAAAATAAATATTTATACGCATTGCTAAAATTTCCAGATGAAACATTTGCAATTTTTATTAGCGATTTTTCAAATAAAACTCAAAGGGGAGGTTTTGATGTGTGAGCGCGATAATATATATATACGAATCAGAGCGGAGAGATTGACACGTCGCTTATCGGTAACGATCGAGGCTATTATTTTCCTCAAATTTACCTGGGTATTTCGCGGCTGTACGAGCGCTTGATTAGCAACTCGTTTTCGCACGCGCACTCATGCGCGCGTCATCGGCGATAACGATTCGCGAAAACGATCTGTGTCACGTTGGTTGAATCGCGCCCGCGTTTGACGTTTCTCGCATAACAAATTTCGATCGCGCGCCGATTGTTTTCCCATCGGTTATCGATTTCAATAAAACCGCGTATATCTTCCCGCGATTCGCAATTTACATCATCACTTTTTATCATCCGCAGCGGCGCGAAATGACGTTTATTAAATCCAATCATTATTAAATCTAGCCAAATGTACATATGTATACATCTTTACAATTAATTGTTAATCGCCAGTGATGAAATTTTTTTCACAAATAATAAGATGCAATTTAATTCGACCAAAAACTGGCTATTCATTTATTGAAAATAAGTACACACTACGTTTCGACCCACATTGTGGTCCTTTTCGAGTGTTGTTCTTATTCAGCAATTACATTAATTAAAAATAGAAACATGAAAGTTGTCCTGTCATATCAACAATCTGTTAGCTACTGGAACTTTCATGTTTCTATTTTTAATTAATGTAATTGCTGAATAAGAACAACACTTGAAAAGGACCACAATGTGGGTCGAAACGTAGTGTGTACTTATTTTCAATAAATCAATAGCCAGTTTTTTGGTCGAATTAAATTGCATCTTACAAATTTGTTAAATTAATACACATTTAGTTCAATGCTGTGAAATGAATTATTTATTTGAAACAAATAAATATTTATTTGTTTTGAAAAGGATTTTCTTACATCAAATAAATAGGTTGCTTATCAAATTGATATTATTAGTTTTGAATAAATGATTTGCTTGACAGTATTGAAATAAATACTTTCAGTGTAAAAATAATAATCGCAAAATAGTGTGAAATTTTTATTTTACGTATGGAAAGCACAATTCATATGTGGACTCTACGATTATAATAATTATTTCTTTAATCGATTATATGAAAAAATCGTCATGTGTAGTGATAAAAAGAAAAAGACTACTTTACTTGTGTATTCTATGTTATTAATTTCCATGCAAAAAAAAATGCGAAGTGACGTTTATTAAATCCAGTCATTATTAAATCTAGCCAAATGTATACATCTTCACAATTAATTGTTGATTGCCAGTGATAAAATTTTTTTAACAAATAATAAGATGCAATTTAATTCGACCAAAAACTGCCTATTCATTTATTAAAAATAAATAACACTACGTTTCGACCCACATTGTGGTCCTTTTCAAGTGTTGTTCTTATTCAGCAATTA